ACGAGAAACGATGAAGAGCTTGACGGAAATTACGAAAATCTAGATGAATCAAAAGAGATGAAAAGATGACTACCAATCCTTGAATACCAGTGACGATGACTCGACCTACGATGACGTTGTTCCAAACGTTATTCCAACTCACCACTATCAGAACACTTGATTCCACTGGTTTGATGAAAGATATTCATGAAGAAAAAATATTTACTTGTTGCTATGATGAATTTACAATATGTTTGCTTTTGTAAACCTTTTTTAAAAAAGGCATTTAGGTTTTGTCATTTAAGTTTGATTCACAAGATTGAAATAATCATAAGCACAAGCATATAGACAAAATATTAAATAAGATAACCAATTAACAAAGCATACCATAAGCATCGACATAAGCACAAGTAGCTATAAAGAAAAGACTTAAATATACGCTTAATGAAGAACAAAGAATAATTGGACTGAATAGAATAATTGGACTGAATAGAATAATTGGACCTCTTTGTCTTTGTAAAACTCTGAAGAAAAGAAAATAAAGTGTTGTAGAATTTTAACAGCGTGAATCACAGTATAGGGTATACAGTAGGTCCACTTCGTGCAGCTGTCTGCTGTATATTTAATTAGATTACAAAAATGAATTGACTCGCTACCACTACGGTAATCACATGCGTAATGAGATATGCGTGGTACGAAAAATTTCAATGAATGGTTCTACTGCATGTATATTCACTACACTGTGGCGTGACCATGCCTTATGCTTTTTATAATACATTTGAATATGATATTAAAGTACTGCAATTTGTGTATCCTAATAAACACAGCGATTGATTTGCTTTCCCGAGTTTGTTCAGAGATGTGCCAAAATTCTGCCTGTGAACCAACAAAATAAGTGTACAAGATGTATAGACAAGATCAAAGAGAAGTTTTGAGAGTTAAGTGCTTTATGCAATACCTACATAAGCTTGCAGCGAAGTCAGTGCATCGTGCTGATGATAAACCAAGATAAATCGGTCTAATCACAAGTTTAGTTTAGTATAAGAACCATTGGATAGAGGCACCAACGTCGAACTAAAACGTTATAAAACGAATATACAAGGCGATTCCGCGCAATTTTTATAATATGTCGATTACTAAACGAACGAACACTTTTTCAAGTACACGTACCGTACAGTTGATAAATTGTTTGAACTATTCCATAAACTTTGTTTAGGATAAAGAATTTCTTCTCATGAAAAATTTATTGGTAATACGTTTTCCACAAGGTGCAAGTCTTGTGACTGAGTTGGCTATTACATCGTAAAATTTTTATAGATTGTGACGTATTTTCAAACAACTCCACTTGCATGTTTGAGGTCATTGTTGCAACACACAGAATTAAAGATACTTCATAAACCTTCTTTCCATAAATTTCATGCACAGACTATGTAAGCTACAATAAAACAGTTTCTTTATCATCAAGTAAACTATTGATATTTGTAAGTTACTATGTAATTTTTATAGCGGGGAGCATTTTTCTTGTCCACTGTTTGTATGAGGAAACCATTTTTCATTAACATATAAGATAAAGCTATATACTATTGGTATAAGATTATACAACATGAATCATGTCCTTTATATAAAGGTCATTGTTTATATGTATCGTATATAAGCTTTAATGATAAAAAATTCACTTTTACTAGGAAAAAATACTTTGGCAAGACAAATTATCACAGGTGTAGACCATAACGCTAAAAATTTGTTGCTCAAGATGGAAAACTGGGGAAGAAGTTTCATTCATAACGGCGAATATTAAACTCCTTCGTATAAGAATATTTCAAAATATAGAATTTGAGTCAGGAGAGGTTATTCTGGCAGTTTCTGGCGGCGAAGGTGTTAAATTTCGCAGGATTGTTATTGACGGTATGACTTCTTTGAAATACTTGTCAATCAAGGATATTCTAATGCTTGAGGATTTACAAAATATGTCGCTAGCACGATACAGGGCAGCAAGAATCTGACTATCCAGAGCACCATAATCTCTTTGTCACCACACCAAAATTTCTTAATGTTACACAACATATTGAAGTTATCATACGAAACAATTAGGTTTGTATTTAGTTTAATGATGAAGTCTTTTCCATTTTTTTTCACAGATTAAGACTTTTCAACGTTGATATAGAGTGGTTTTGTTGATCCTGTAAGACAGTGTGTATTTATTGAACCAAATAAAAACAATAGCAAGTGGAGCCGTAAAGGATGTGAATTAAACGAAGCAAAATCTTTAGATTTCAAAGTCACTTGAGATTGTGATAATAACACAGCGTTTGCAGTCATGATGCACTCCTCTTGTGTTTAGCTAGGATAGAAGTGCAGGTAGCTCATTAATTTTTTTTGAAATTTTTCCATGTTCACTAAATTTCTCTTCACTCTTCAAGAATTTTGAAATTTTCACGTCAATAAGCTACGTCATAATAGAAAGCCATTTATAAACCAGATTTCGATTATTTTTAAGTTTTTGTTGTTAGACCATATCCAGGGCTAAAGTTTTCTTAATCTGTCAAGGTGAATGGTAAATATTTCTTTTATCTTTGTAGAAGACATCTGAAAGCTTTACAATACATCTCAAACATTGGGTGTTCAGTATCAATTTTGTTATAGTTTTTAGTCTTTATGTACGTGTGTTTCTGGAAGTATGTAAAATCACCTCGATGTATAGTTTTGATTAATCTTTGCATTACAATTGGTTTTACCGACATCTTTGCTATATTGGAGAGTCTCCAAAAGGAGCACGGTAAAATTTTATGATTTAGTTTAAATCATTCTTTTATGTTAAACCTACTCTGTAAAGCACAATCTTACATTTTCGAATAGGGCAAGTGCTGTTCATAAAACAAGTTGTAACAGATGTTGAAAGCTGTTAATTAAATAAGTGACTGGTTGCTGATGATCCTAATTTGAAAATGCTTGTTGTTTGTTTTGGTAAACTATGGTGTACAACCCCTTCATAAACAAAATTTTCCTTCATAGCTATATAAGTTCTTCTCGTAAGAAAGCTTGGGAAAATAAAAAATTGTAGTAAATAATTATACAACGTTTTTCTAATAGTAAAGACATTTTAAAACAATTATATGTGTTCTATCTTGCAGGATTTCTGTAAAACAGTCGCAGCTATTTTACATTTTTTGCTGTCTGCATTTGGCTGGATGCTATGCGAAGGATTTCTTGTTGACATGTTAATCTTTAAAATTTATTTATTGTCCATTAGACAAACTTCTTTTAGTTCTAGGTATTCCATTGATCATCGTTACCATATCACTTGGAGCTACACAAAGGATATGGAACTAATTCTTGCTGTTGGCTGAGTATCAAAATAAATTAAATTTGGAGTTTGTTGTCCCAGTTTGCCTAGTAATTTCGGTAGGTTGAATAGCACTACTTTGACATGGTCCATCTGTCCGATTCAGTAAATATGAATTACCTTTTTTGGTGGCTGGCATCTGCGGAAATTCCTATAACCGTAATACATCTCCTTTTCTGTGATACCGACCACCCAAAGGGAATGAGTTTCCGGTGGAACAGGACTCTAACGGTTATGTTGTTTGTGGTAGATACGTTAAACAACTGCTAAAAGTTGAATAAAAATAGCATATAAGTGCATTCAAAATGCAATTGGTCGACCAAAACGGCAATTTTCGGCAAACGTTTGATACGCATTTTGTTTTTATGAAAGTTTGAGATTCGATTGATCAACTGAAAGAGCTTTTATCGCTTTTAGAGTTTTTAAAACGATGACGTCAATGGCACACAAATGGCGACAAATGTCATAACAACCGTGGGCGTTTTATAACAATATTTCATAACAACCGTGGGCGTTTTATGTATAACCATGCGCACTTAAATATATTACATTCATCGTTCTCAAAAGTTTTAGTGTGGACAACCGAAAACGCTATTAAAACGCTGGTGCGGGTGCAATAAAACGATGCGTTTCGAAACGCATTATTGTGGACAGGGTCTTACCAGTAATTGTGAATCGTAAAGCAGCATGTAAACGAGCGAAAAAACGCGTCAATGATGAAGAAATGTCTTAACCACTGTTTTGCTCAAAATTACCAAACTACCAAATTTTCCTCATAGCATGAATTTTTACATAAACTCCAGTGAACAGAACTTTTGCTGTTCATACATATCAGTTCACACATAAGAATTCTAATTTGAACCCGATATTTGAAAAAAGAGACAAGGCAATTTTCTATTTGTTTATATTAGATTAAATTTACAAGCTAGCTGTGGTTCTATTTATTTGTGTGAAGTGGCATTTTAAGGAAGCATTAGTGCGGAGTACAAACTTCTCAGTAAGGTTAGTTGCTTCTTGTGTAATCGTAAAATTAAGGATATACAATTGTTGTCAATGACGTGGTTTGTAGAACTTAATTAATAAAGAGTGCTCTAGCTCCCTGTATAAATACATTTGTAGTTTTTATGAATGAAATTAGTAATTTGGAATTTAGTCCGCCTGAAAATTTGCAGTAAACCGGTTTGCCCTGTGTCTTTAAATATAAGACTGCCTAGGAAACTGAACAGGACCTTTCCTTCTAGGCTACTTCGTGGAACTAGCTAATATATGCAACAATCATCTTCTAACTTTAGCCGTGGCAAGTTTATTTTTGATTATATTAGAAAATGGCTTATGATCAATGCAAATGGCTCGAGACATAAATTATGGGCTTTTTTGATGTATAAATATCAATTATTGCCATCTTTCTTCACTATCATTTCTATGGTAATAGAAGTTGGGCATATATTAAATAGAGCATCACGCGATTCAATCCTAATTAATGAAAAGGATTTCCTCGACGGTCATTAACTCAGATCAACGACGATAAATTGTATTCTTGCAGCATTTTATACTTAAAGGGTTTGATTCTTTTCAATTTTAAAATATGAAAATCATGTTTATTTTTGTTGGTATCGCTAGCTATACTACAAACATGCTAATGTTTTTTGTGAAACATTGAAGTAAAGGACATTAGGATATGAAGCAAGAACAAGATGAAATTAGGTAAAGTATCGTGTTAACAAGCACCGGATATTTATAACGGAGGAACATGCGGTGACGCGTATTCGGATAAATTGCCTACTCAAACAATAAGTATTTCAAAATGACCTACGCCTATCGATTTTGCTGAAAACGTAGAAAACCAGTTTCCTTCTGAACAGGCAATCAAACCAGTTTGAAAACAAAGTTTGTTTTCATTCTGCCATGCATGGTCACTGTTCCTAAGTCAGCATTTGGCTGCAGCCCAATACTCTTAATATCTTCGGCAACGTTAAACTTTAAATATGACTAAGAACTTCTTGTGTATGTGCAGGTAACTAAACGTTAGTTTTAACAAAATATCAACATTTATAATTTTCTTCTGAACTTTTGACTCATATAACCTCAACTTTTATTCTCATCACTTACAATTTATGATCATTTTAACACTCGATATACCGACCAAATAAGGAAGCAAGTGCAACAAGCAATCACACGGTTTGATGACTTATAGTGGGTGCGAATATTACTCACGCAATGTTTGAACGTAAACGGCGATCAATATAACCAAAGTTTGTTCAAAATTAAATATAATGTAAAAGAAGAGAAACCTTGCTTCTTTATTCCTAAATAAGAAAGTTCAATGAAAGAAACGATGAACGTAGAACAAATCATTCAAAATTGATTTTCCTTAATTTGAAACCGTCTTCGTTTTGCATGGATTGTCTACTTAATACAATACAAAAGATTTTTGAACGCACGTCAGAAACCGGAATTAGCAAAACTTTGGGAGACCTCAAAGTACCCGACACGACTTGAACTTCCTTGTGATTTTGAATTTGTCGTGGCATTAATGAAGGCAGAGAAATCGCTTTCACCGTAAATATTGTAAATCACTGTAAAAATAACTGTTCGAATCCATTTGCCTAAGGGACAATCAAACCTATTGTGTTTGAGATTTCAACTGTTAATCAAGTTCGAAATTGCAGGAAAAAGAAACAACTTCGTGATGCATTTTATTGAGATTCTCGCACGTCTTCGTGTTGGTCAATTTATGCCGGTTTGGTGAAGGTAAGTCAGCATTAGTAATTAGCAGCCATTTTACACTATAAATGTACGCATTATAAAGGGTGTATTATTTCATTCCACTTGCCATTGTTTGTTGATGAATTATAGATACTGTGTTCTAGAAATGTAGATTCAACCAAATCAATTACTCGTGATGATGACTTACTCTAGATCACTTTATAGTCGTGATCACTTGTTCTACATGAATGTAGTTATAGTACCAAGCCTTTTGCATCGAGAGAAAGTGTTATAGCAGATAAGGGATCGAATTGTATGACTGACAAACTAAAAAATGGCAATCTAATAAGAAGAATTTAGCCTCATTACGGTTGAGAGTGTTTGCTTAAGAACAAATATGAAATAGTATCACAACAGGTGGCTGGTGGGCGATGCATGAAGTGCTACAATTTTATTTAATGAACTGTTATTTACAAGTTAACTAATCCTGTGGTAAGCCATAAACTCTGGTCGTCTGACTGGGAAGTTATGTTAAAAATTTCGTATTATGGGTCCGACGACAGTACAAATATTTATGGTTCATTAATTCATTCGTATATAAGACCTCCTAGGTAATGACCAATTGCATACAGGTGACAGGTGTAGTCCGGCAAGTTTTCGACAGTATACGTTGTGATAATGTGATAATGTGATAATTTATAAAACAATTGATTTCAAAAGAACCTAATAGAGCAAAACATGAACATTAAAATGTTCCACCACCCCAAATTATCCAGCTGCTTACATGAATTTTCTATCAAATAATCTTCGGATTTTCTATAGTCGTATAGTGTACTAAGAATGACTGCCAATGGCAAAATGCTGTTGTGTAAAAGACTAGATGAAACAAAGAAACTTTAATCTTAGGAAATAGATAACTTGACTTTTCGCGTAAAATTTTGACATGTTAAGCGATAAACTTTTTGTTATGAATTTGCATGTTTTATAGCTGTTCTATGCGATGCCCTCGAAGGACGTTCGTTTGAATGTGGTAACAGAGCAGCACTGGAAGCTGATTGCCCAAAAACATGCTGCTTTAATCAGACAGCGAGTCCGCCATGTTATTTTAAAGAGAAAGGTAGCATTATGACTTGTTTTTGGAAGTAAACTTATTATCACAGTTTCATTCGACCAAAAATGTGGACACATCAAGTCACCACACTGAGTAATGTAATGCAGTATGCCAATTTTCAAAACAAGATATGCAGTATAACAGTCATTATATTGGAGATAGATAACAGAAAAGTTCTCCTCTGTTTTCAGTCTAAAAAAATTAGTTATATTGATAACTTTCAATGAAAAAACAAGCTTCCATCATACTTTTTTTTTAATCAAAAGCATGGCGTTTAAAAATTCATGACTGGCAAAAATTCAATTCCGTAGCTATCAGAAGAAATTTAGAAAGCTTGGATTTACTTGTCCACGTCTATAAATTTTGAACATACAGCCAAAGATCGTTTCGATAATTTCAAAAGAATATCTTAATTCACACAAATCTTGATAGGAAGTTTTAGGTTAGCAAATGTCGACTTAACACTAAAAAAATTTTTCCTCTTAGCTAATCCTTTTTAGATTTCTTTTTTACTCATTTTCTCTTTCGGCAAATGTTGGTAGACTTTTCATTTGTAACATAATGCCCTTTAACGTAACCAGCAATAAGTTGCTAAATTACCATTAAAAATACCATTAAAAGAATATTTTAGAAAATTTTTAAGTTGAATTATTGTTTGTATTTCACATTTACTTTTTCCTTTTTCTTTGACAAAGCGTCTAATTACCCAAAACATGCATCAAGTTTACTTTTTATTTTGTATAAATTTGATTAAAAATACGAGCAAAACTAATTATCCTGCCGTACCCAAACTCTCTCTTAATGCTGTAAAATGAAAAATTATGCATTCAAATTGCTTTGTTCTTCATATGCTTTTCAGTAAAATGAAAAATTATGCATTCAAATTGCTTTGTTCTTCATATGTGAAAAATTCCTCATTTTTTCTAAAACAAAAGTCGTCCTTGTTTGTAAAAGTATTTTTATGATGGTCATTAAACTTTGCATGAAGATAAATTGATCACGATTCATTAAAATTTCTTAGATTTTGGCCCCATCCAACACGCTAACGGACTTTGCATAAATGTGCAAGATGGAAGCGATCGTCTTATTTGGTCACGTGATTGCACTTCAAAGAATGTTTTCTTCTTGGTAGCAAGGCACCATCCAGTTTATCATGCGGCTACAGGAAAATGCATTTTACCAATTGAGTGAGTTTTGTTTCATTTTTTATTCGAAAAGAAACATGACTATAATTGATGACTTTAGTTCAAACTTGCATTGCGTCTTTTTATTACGGTTGAAAAACGAGACTCACGGTAGAGCTCTATATATTTGCTTTTTTTTTCTTCTGATATTGTACTTTGACTTATACAGAAACTAAGGGATTGTTTTTTGACAAACCAAGGGTTAAATGACGTTATTTCTTCAACTTACCTCTTGCTATTTGTTCTAAATTTCTTATTCTACCGAGCTTGGGCGTTGATAAACCACTGAAGGCAGTCATAATAATGCACTAAATACTTCTAAAATAGCTATCTATGGATGGCTAAGCGCAAATTATTACCACTACACTCATTTTTCAATCAATTGTGTGTTTGTTACCAATTACAGCAACAGCAACCGACCTGAAATTCACTGTATTTTTTGTATTTTAGTTGTAATGGCAAAAAATGTGACGTAATACTACAACCGAATAATCGTTGTACTGCGTCAAATTCAAAATTTCAACCAACTGTGAATGGAAATTTGGAATACGATGACTATTCTGGAAGAAAAATGTGCATTGGTAGCTCATCTGTTGCTAATAATAAATGGGAACCTCAAGAAAATGAAAATGTCACTATTGCAGAAAATATTTGTAGCGTGAATAACTCATGCAAATTTGACTACGGTAGGTTGTCACACAAAGGAATATATGCTAATGGTAATTACGTGTTGGTTTGTTCAGTTTGCTTTATGGGGTTAAAAAAGTTTGATGAGTGATAATCTTATTAAAGGAGGAGAGCATTAGAGCAATATGTATTTGGAATCAATAATATGGTACAAAAATTCATTGATTTCAAATTATTAAACTCTTCAACAAGGGCCTTGTTAGAAATTAAGCTGTTAATAAAGTTGTAAGAGTATGATTAAGCTGTTGCAATAGTTTGCAAAATACATGTTACTCCATCCTCGAAAGAGATTTTAATTTGTTAAGGTCATGGTTACCTGTGCTTTCCAGAACGTGGCAGGTTATGATTGTTATGGTAGACTGCAATTTTTAATTGTAATGTAATCTTTGTATATGTAAGTGAAAAAGGCTAGTTTCTAAAGAAGTCAACACGCAAATCAAATATGTTATTTTAAAATATGAGTTCAATATTTTTTTAATTATTAAATTTATTTTTATAGTGAGTGAAAAAATAATTTTGAGTTCGGGAAGTATGACAATGCAATGTAATAAACAATGCAGTACATCGAAGATTGAAGTACGATTGGCTGAATTTGGTAAATTGATCAATTATGTACCCTCAAAGATGTTGTCAAACGAAAAGGATGTTTGTCATCATCACTGTCAAGGTCGGTGCAGAAAAAGTGCAAAGAAAAGAGCTATTGTTCTTTCAATATGGGCGAAGAAGGAATCGTTGCAAAATCATCTGATTGTTCAAAAGGAACATGGCTACTTGTGCGTTACACTTGCAAATTTTCAGGTATGGTCTTTATTTGTAAAGTAATACGTCATTTAAATTGAAACCATTAGACATATTACCATTTGCAAGCGATTGTTGGGAATAGACTATTTTGTGCGTTGTTTTCGTCTTAAACGCCGCGTTTTTGACGTCATACATACACGATAAATTTGTAAAGAAAAAGTGAGAGGATAACGTTGGAAATGTTCGCAATACCTCGTGCTCATGTTAAACTGCATCGTTTATAACATTTTGTCAGTTATTGTAATAAATGTTTTTCATTGTCACCAATCTCACTTTATTAGAGTTTCTAAAGGATATTATTTTGACAAAACATAAAAATCTTGATGTAAGACGTGCACTTATTTGTTTTAAACATGCAGTCTAGACATGTCGAACGTTGACATTTTGCAATCCAAGCTGTTTACTTTGCATGTTATAACGTGTATGTTTGACAAGCAAAGCCTCGCCATCTTGCTTCCGTCTAAAATGTTGTTGACCAGTATGATTGCGTATCTGAGATGGCTTGATCTTTTGCTTATTTTAACCATGGATTTACTTTGTCATCATAGATTTTACGCATTAATGACACTTTATATAAACAAAGTGGCGTAAGCAGCCAGTATTTTTACAAAAGCTATTTAAAGTGTTATGTGTTTAGTCACCGCAAAATTATATTCAAAGAAAGGAATATAATGATCATCCTCTAAAATTTACATAGCAGGACTGAAACCTTTACGCTGGATGCTCAACTGTTTTACACAGTAATAAGACAATTTTTTTATCAAAGCGTTATTATAGTCAAACCTGTAAATATTATAGGGCCCTGAATTAAGCGGACACCCTGTATTAAACGGACACTTTATCAATTCTATTAAGCGACGAAAACACCAAAATTGTCGAATAATAACAAAAACCTGTGTTTAACAGACAATTTTTCAAAATATTTAATGTTGTTTACTGGCATTATTAGTCACAAAAATATTGTCACAACAATTACGAAGATATTTTAATCGTCATAATGCAAGTGTATTGAAGATAAAATGCTGTCATCAAACATGAGCTGTTTACAAATTATTCCTATAACTTGTCAACGTCAAATCAAGCTTTTCGTTGTCTAAAAGAATTCATGAGATCATTTTACGCTAACATCTTCCTTAAAAAACTTTTTACTAACTAAATATCTCCAAAAAAATTCATTTGTACAAGTGAGGATTAAAGGACACATTGTAGAGTATGGTGTCAAAACACTTTTTTAACCTGTTCATTTGATTTAAGATATTAAGAAATGTCTGTTCAACTCATGCAATGCCAATGCCAACTGTACGGATATAGATGGATCGTTTAAATGCCAATGTAAAGAAGGGTATTCTGGAAATGGAATCAATTGCACAAGTAAGATCTTATTAGGACATCAAAATGCAGCAATTTTACGGATGATAAGTGTCTAGGTTAATGCATTCTTGAGAAGGACTACTCATGTTAGTTTTGAGCGATGTTTTTAACATCCTTAGCGGTTGTCATCTTTTTATAGTCAAGTGAATTAAGAGTGTTTATTAAAATGTAAAAGTCTACATGTTTTCTTGATTGTTTATTCTCATTTTAAGATATCGACGAATGTCTGTCTCATCCATGTGACGACAATGCTAACTGTACTGACAATGACGGATCTTTTGAATGCCAATGTAAAGAAGGGTATTCTGGAAATGGAACTTATTGCACAAGTAAGAGCTTATCAGCAATTTTATGTAGCAAATAGCCGTGGTCATTTTAAAAGTCAATTAAAGAGTGTTTATTAATATGGAAACAGTCAACAACATGTTTGTTTAACTATTTATTTTCATTTGAAGATGTCAACGAATGTTTGTTCAGTCCATGTGACGACAATGCCAATTGCACCGATAATGAAGGATCTTTTGAATGCCGATGTAAAGAAGGGTTTTTTAGAAATGGAACTAATTGCACAAGTAAGAACTTATCACATTAATATGCAGTGAGCTTGGATGATGAATTTTCAAGTTGGTGCAGTCCTGAGGACTGTCGATATTAGTTTTGAGAGATGATTCAACATTCTTAGCGGTTGTCATCTTTTTATAGTCAAGTGAAGAGTGTTTATTAAAATGTAAAAGTCTACATGTTTTCTTGATTGTTTATTCTCATTTTAAGATATCGACGAATGTCTGTCTCATCCATGTGACGACAATGCTAACTGTACTGACAATGACGGATCTTTTGAATGCCAATGTAAAGAAGGGTATTCTGGAAATGGAACTTATTGCACAAGTAAGAGCTTATCAGCAATTTTATAATATGTATAGCCGTGGTCATTTTAAAAAGTCAATTAAAGAGTGTTTATTAATATGGAAACAGTCAACAACATGTTTGCTTAACTGTTTATTTTCATTTGAAGATGTCAACGAATGCTTGTTGAGTCCATGTGACGACAACAATTGCACCGATAATGAAGGATCTTTTGAATGCCGATGTAAGGAAGGGTTTTTAGAAATGGAGCTAATTGCACAAGTAAGAACTTATCACATTAATATGCAGTGAGTTTATGGATGATAATTTTCAAGTTGGTGCAGTCTTGAGGACTGTCAATTTTAGTTTTGATCGATGATTCAACATTCTTAGCGGTTGTCATCTTTTATAATCAAGTGAAGAGTGTTTATTAAAATGTAAAGTCGACATGTTTTCTTGATTGTTTATTCTCATTTTAAGATATTGACGAATGTCTGTCTCATCCATGTGACGACAATGCTAACTGTACTGACAATGACGGATCTTTTGAATGCCAATGTAAAGAAGGGTATTATAGAAATGGAACTTATTGCACAAGTAAGAGCTTATCAGCAATTTTATAATATGTAGCAAATAGCCGTGGTCATTTTTAAAAAGTCAATTAAAGAGTGTTTATTAATATGGAAACAGTCAACAACATGTTTGCTTAACTGTTTATTTTCATTTGAAGATGTCAACGAATGCTTGTTGAGTCCATGTGACGACAATGCCAATTGCACCGACAATGAAGGATCTTTTGAATGCCGTTGTAAGGAAGGTTTTTATAGAAATGGAGCTAATTGCACAAGTAAGAACTTATCACATTAATATGCAGTGAGTTTATGGATGATAATTTTTCAAGTTGGTGCAGTCCTGAGGACTGTCGATTTTAGTTTTGAGCGATGATTCAACATTCTTAGCGGTTGTCATATTTTTATAGTCAAGTGAAGAGTGTTTATTAAAATGTAAAAGTCGACATGTTTTCTTGATTGTTTATTCTCATGTTAAGATATCGACGAATGTCTGTCTCATCCATGTGACGACAATGCTAACTGTACTGACATTGACGGATCTTTTGAATGCCAATGTAAAGAAGGGTATTCTGGAAATGGAACTTATTGCACAAGTAAGAGCTTATCAGCAATTTTATAATATGTAGCAAATAGCCGTGGTCATTTTAAAAGTCAATTAAAGAGTGTTTATTATTATATGGAAACAGTCAACAACATGTTTGCTTACCTGTTTATTTTCATTTGAAGATGTCAACGAATGTTTGTTGAGTCCATGTGACGACAATGCCAATTGCACCGATAATGAAGGATCTTTTGAATGCCGATGTAAGGAAGGGTTTTAGAAATGGAGCTAATTGCACAAGTAAGAACTTATCACATTAATATGCAGTGAGTTTATGGATGATAATTTTTCAAGTTGGTGCAGTCTTGAGGACTGTCAATTTTAGTTTTGATCAATGATTCAACATTCTTAGCGGTTGTCATCTTTTTATAGTCAAGTGAAGAGTGTTTATTAAAATGTAAAAGTCGACATGTTTTCTTGATTGTTTATTCTCATTTTAAGATATCGACGAATGTCTGTCTCATTCATGTGACGACAATGCTAACTGTACTGACAATGACGGATCTTTTGAATGCCAATGTAAAGAAGGGTATTCTGGAAATGGAGCTTATTGCACAAGTAAGAGCTTATCAGCAATTTTATAATATGTAGCAAATAGCCGTGGTCATTTTTAAAAAGTCAATTAAAGAGTGTTTATTAATATGGAAACAGTCAACAACATGTTTGCTTAACTGTTTATTTTGATTTGAAGATGTCAACGAATGTTTGTTGAGTCCATGTGACGACAATGCCAATTGCACCGACAATGAAGGATCTTTTGAATGCCGATGTAAGGAAGGGTTTTTTAGAAATGGAGCTAATTGCACAAGTAAGAACTTATCACATTAATATGCAGTGAGTTTATGGATGATAATTTTCAAGTTGGTGCAGTCCTGAGGACTGTCGATTTTAGTTTTGATCGATGATTCAACATTCTTAGCGGTTGTCATCTTTTATAGTCAAGTGAAGAGTGTTTATTAAAATGTAAAAGTCGACATGTTTTCTTGATTGTTTATTCTCATTTTAAGATATCGACGAATGTCTGTCTCATCCATGTGACGACAATGCTAACTGTACTGACATTGACGGATCTTTTGAATGCCAATGTAAAGAAGGGTATTCTGGAAATGGAACTTATTGCACAAGTAAGAGCTTATCAGCAATTTTATAATATGTAGCAAATAGCCGTGGTCATTTTTAAAAAGTCAATTAAAGAGTGTTTATTAATATGGAAACAGTCAACAACATGTTTGCTTACCTGTTTATTTTCATTTGAAGATGTCAACGAATGTTTGTTGAGTCCATGTGACGACAATGCCAATTGCACCGATAATGAAGGATCTTTTGAATGCCGATGTAAGGAAGGGTTTTAGAAATGGAGCTAATTGCACAAGTAAGAACTTATCACATTAATATGCAGTGAGTTTATGGATGATAATTTTTCAAGTTGGTGCAGTCTTGAGGACTGTCAATTTTAGTTTTGATCGATGATTCAACATTCTTAGTGGTTGTCATCTTTTTATAGTCAAGTGAAGAGTGTTTATTAAAATGTAAAAGTCGACATGTTTTCTTGATTGTTTATTCTCATTTTAAGATATCGACGAATGTCTGTCTCATCCATGTGACGACAATGCTAACTGTACTGACAATGACGGATCTTTTGAATGCCAATGTAAAGAAGGGTATTCTGGAAATGGAACTTATTGCACAAGTAAGAGCTTATCAGCAATTTTATAATATGTAGCAAATAGCCGTGGTCATTTTAAAAGTCAATTAAAGAGTGTTTATTAATATGGAAACAGTCAACAACATGTTTGCTTAACTGTTTATTTTCATTTGAAGATGTCAACGAATGCTTGTTGAGTCCATGTGACGACAATGCCAATTGCACCGACAATGAAGGATCTTTTGAATGCCGATGTAAGGAAGGGTTTTTTAGAAATGGAGCTAATTGCACAAGTAAGAACTTATCACATTAATATGCAGTGAGTTTATGGATGATAATTTTTCAAGTTGGTGCAGTCCTGAGGACTGTCGATTTTAGTTTTGAGCGATGATTCAACATTCTTAGCGGTTGTCATCTTTTTATAGTCAAGTGAAGAGTATTTATTAATATGGAAAAAGCTACCATGTTGGCTTGACTGCTTATTCTTATTTTAAGGTATCAACGAATGTTTGTTTAGCCCATGTGACGATAATGCAAATTGCACCGACAATGAAGGATCTTTTGAATGTCGATGTAAAGAAGGTTTTTCTGGAGATGGATTTTCTTGTACAAGTAAATAAATTATTTAGTTGCACACTGCATATAACAACATATAGAGTTTCATTTGACCTTTTCATATTGTTTTAAGTTATCAAGGAATGTCTCATCAATTCTTGTCGCAATCTAAACTAGAATAACAACGAGGAAGCTTATAAATTTTGTTGTGATGAATGCCCATCTTTTAGATATATTATCCTCAATTCAAATGAACTTAAAATATGAAGGAATTTCTGGAAAGTTACTTATTATCACATGTACTGTTGATGGGTCGTCGTCACCAAATTTTTTGTGGAAAAATGGCAGCCTGGTCCTTTCACATTCGTCGAATGTTAAGATGGAGACGAAAGACAAAGTCTCAAAGTTGTTTGTTCGAAATACTACGCCATTTGATTCTGGTGTTTATCATTGCATAGCAAGGTTTCTTTTAACTTCATTATAGTAAAGATTTTATAAAACATGAAAACAACATAATATTCCGCTTTTTTCAAATTAATACAGAAAAGACGCAGCGAGCATTGCTAGCAATATATCGGTAAAAGTGAAGAATGTTCCTGTTATTTCTGTTTTCCACTGTCAATATCTGCCACAGAAGGTATAAATATTGGTAACTCCTGAATGTATCTGAAAATCGAAATTTTTCGTTGCATTTAAAAGTGCCAAAAATCTAAAATGGAATCCATAGGTAATTTGTATTGTAAGCGTTACAAGTAAAGTTTGGCATTTTGACAGGTTTTATCTTCTTAGATATGCAACACTCAAAATTTTGATTGCGGACGAGGGACTCGCTTTCTAAATACATATACACAAATCGAACATATAAAATACCCGATCACAAATACTCCCTTGACCCTTTGAGATTGTATTGTCATTTGTTTGCCCAAAATCAAAGTTAAGAATATTTTAGTATTAAGTTTGCTTTCTCATTGGTATAGGTGACGTTATTTTGCTCACGTGTCTGGTGGATAATAATCAGTACCACAAAGTAGAAGTTTTATGGTTCAATAGTTCCACACCTACACAGCATATAGATACTGGAAGAGAACTCAATCTTACTAATCGCATTCAATTAAAGACGAGAAATCGTTACGAAGAGACATACTGGTGTAATGCTACAAACCAAGACGGTACAAGTCGAAGTCAAAATGTCAGCGTTGTTGTGGTGTCAAAAGGTTGGTAAATTGAAACAATTTCAATTATTTATTTCTGTTTTGTTCCATTATTGCACATGCAGACATAGAATCTTTGTTTGATATTTGCTGGTAGTTTTTAGATTTTATAACACCATTCATAACATTTGATAATTACATTTTACAATAATGACTCGGGCAACCTAAGGTTATCCCAAATTTGAAATTCAGACTATCCTGTGCCGTCGCAAGCTTGAACAAATCACGCGTGATTGATACAAGTTTTTAATTAACCACTCAAAATCTTTGTTTAATTGTTTCACGCGCAGTTGTAACTTATGACACATGGTACGTATAATAATACATAATTTATTTATATAATACATTGCCATATGTGAGATTGCATTTCGTATTGCCATTTCGCAAATATTATATACATACACGCAATCATAACCAAACAAACAATGGTCTTTAGTAGCCGGATTAAGCTCCTGATTGACATCTTGTTAGATTTTATGATTCGTTTTGACAGCAAAGTTGATTGGAAAAGAACTCATGACCGAAAACCTGGACAAGGATTAATCAGTTTCTCTTTTGCTTAAATCTCTTAAAACTATACATTTTATTTATCATAAAAATACTTTTCTTTTTCTGTTCGTGCGACTACATGAACATTTTTTATCTGTTTTATTGTTTTTAAGCACTTCAACACTTTGATCTTTTAAATGTTTGATAAGCATTCTTTAAAATACAGAATACAAAGACTATTGCTCTGCTGAAAAAGTGGTTATGATTGGAAAAGAACTCCTGTTGGGTCAAATGTTGTTAAGAAATGTCGTGATAAAAAGATAGGTCAGCTGACATATTAGTTTATCTTTATCCTGGCCGCACAATAACAGATTATTCAATAATGCCTGAGAGGCTCCTGCATATTCAATACACCACTTTGTTTTTTCTTATTGAATTTTTAGGAGTTGCTTTTCGGTTGTGTTCAAAGGATAATGGACGTGCAGCCTGGGATAAAGTTGATGTGTCAAATTGTAGATCCCCAATTGTCGTTGATCTAGTTGAACAGGTGGGTTTTTCATTATTTTTGCATTACCATTATGTTTTATTTACAACTCACGAGGAATTCTAAATACGATGTGCGTTTACAGGTATCAAGGCTCGAGGAAGGTTTTGCATCCATTAACGTCAGCGAGATTCTAAAAAGAACTGAAGTTGTTACGAAAGACGGTGGGGAATTGTTTGAACAAGATATCAGAGACATTGTGTCTGTTTTAAAGAGAACCCAAACGAAAACATCGTTGCCGACTGATCGAGAGAAATTCATTCGGTCTTCAAGTATATGTTGGTAGTTCAAAAGAGGTGCCTGGAAAAACTTACAAGTGAGTCGGCAGGGATAGTGTTCTTCATCATCCCACGAATGAAGGCATTACTTCTCTTGTTATGTTTGAGTGAAACTTATTGCAATTTGTGTCTCTTAGTTCAAGTCCAATGTTTATGTAACAAAGAGCATGTGAGAATTTCATCTTATAACAAAATAGAAACAAAATCTCTATTTACGTTTATCAGTTCATTTTCTAATGAACTGATTTTCTCCTGGCATGAATTGGAACGCACTTGCTACTTAAATTTACAAGCTGGGGATGTAGTTTCAATAGTGTTACTAGGAACAGAAAGTTTTACCAAATTAATAGTTGTTCATATTGTTTTCCCATCTCATTGTGAAAATGTGCTGCTATAATTAACCGATTTATCAGATAATCATTAAGTCTGCCCAGCTATTTTACGGTTGAAAAGCACATGCAACACTGTCGCTTTTGTAATATTTTTGACTTCTATAAAGACAATCCTCATATAACTTGATTTCATTTCTTTATTTCAACCGCCAAAATTGCCATAGAGATGAATATTAATGGAATATATAAAATTATACTAAAACAGCATGCATTTTCACATTTCATGAATGTATTTATAAACTTTTTGAGTATTTATTCAAATTGATGGAATATAATCAGTAGCTACAAGTTGGTGCTTTTAAAAAACATTTTATGATACGCAAAGATTACATATTTTATGATAAGCTTCGCTAAGTTGGACATTATTTCTTTTATGATTGTTTGTCAGGAAAGAAACACCTTAGCAAAACATGTTATTGAAGGCTCAGACATGAACGCTAAGAAATTAGTCGCTGAAACTGGAAAACCTGGAAGAGTACTTAAGTTTAAGACTGAAAATATTGAACTACTTGGTATAAAGCTCCATAAAAATAAACCAGCTCAGCCCGAAGATGTCAATCTCATGTCTGAAGACGAAGGCGTTGAGTTTCTTTGGGTTGATGGTATAAAGCAAGCGACTGTTGTCAAATACACTTCAATCAAAGACATATTATCGCCCGAGGAGCTACAAAAATCTGTCGACAGCACGATACAGGCCAGTGGCAATCTGACTATACAGAGCACCATAGTTTCCTTTGCTACAGCCCCAAAACTTCAATGTTACTCAACACATCAAAATTGTCTTGAAAAACAATCAGGTTTGTGTTGAGTTTACATATGACAACCTGAACGGTATTTGTTATTGCCTAATGGTTACATATGTATTAAATACCTTTTGCATTGATATAGAGTGGTTACGTTGATCCTGGAAGACAGTGTGTATTTATTGAACCAAGTGTAAGCGATAGCAAATGGAGCCGTGAAGGATGTAAATTAAATGAATCAAAATCCTCAAAGAGAAAGTAGTTTGTGATTGTGATCATAACACAGCGTTTGCAATCATGATGCATTCCTCTGGTGTACAGGTATTAGCACTAGTTGTGGCATAGTTACCTCGCTTATTTAAGTATTTCAAAAGTTGCTGCGTTTATTTACTGCGAAAAGATTTTTAAAGAAATGAATAAACTACAAAAATACTCTGAAATTTAAAGTGGACTTTAACTTTCACGTTCGTTTTAGCAAGTATAAAGTGACCTATTTATTTCAGGTTCAAATGAACAATATTTGCTTACAGTTTTGTGTATAAACAATGATTTAGCTGTGACACTTATACCATTAATTATTACAATATTAAATATTTTAATTTTTTGAGAAAGTATTTACCTATTGGTAGGTATACGAATCGTCAGTGCTCTAGTAAAATCAATAATTGGTGGTTGGGGTGGGGTTCATATATTGATCTATTAATATGACACTCCCCAATTAACAATTGAAGAATATTTACTATATTTTTACTAGGTATTAATCAAATGGCCAATTGAATTGTTTTTCTTTACAAAGAGCCGTGTAATGTTGCTCCTTAACGAAATATCTTCCCGTAACAAAAGGCCAGCTTTTTTTTGCATCAATTGCGATAAAACGTTGTACAAAGTGGAGTTGAGATTTTGAAAAGCGTTTTAAAGATCGCAAATACCATGGTGAATGGTAAAACAATACGTTGATAGTTCTTAAAAGAACTGTTTTAAGTAAAGAGCACTAACCCAATAGTTCTAAAGGAATGTATTGAAACTAAACGACACTATGCATTTCGGCAGACTGCTCTTCAGGTGCCAACGTCTGCTAAATGAAAATATAAAATCTACCGATATTTGTAAATGCCAAAGTGTGCGTCATCTCCAAAGCGCTCAAAACAGGGATAAACTGGAAACATAATCCTTTTGTTGGCAGACGACCGGATTGGTTAGCTTTCCTTTCTATTAAGAACTATTAACTTATTAATTTTACCATTCACACATGGTATTTGCGATCTTCAAAACTATTTTAAGATTTGCCACCACGACAAAATCTCTATCTAGTTGAAATTTTGTTTCTGCTAAGACTGTTAATACAGAAAAATAATTTTTCTTAGATTTCTTAAACTCTAGCTTAGCTAGAGAGAGTGAAATACTTTATGTAAGCAGTGAATGTTCCTTTCTTCTTGTAGTCAGAAACTCATTTGAAAGTCCTCGAATTCATCTCAACTATCGGATGCTCAGTATCACTTGTCGGTTTAGTTTTTACAATCCTCATGCACGTGTGTTTCTGGAAACATGTGAAATCACCTCGATGTATAGTTTTGATAAATCTTTGTATCGCAATTGGTTTTGCCGATATCTTTGCTGTTGTGGAAAGAGTTGCTCGAGGCAATCCGGTAACTATATTGAAAAGAAAATAGCTGTTTACGAGAAAAAGGATGTTAGTGGGTATTGCATGATTATTTCGATTACAACTCGAGGAGCTATAGTTTCTTTTTCAAAAAATTTTGTGCTGCTAAGATTGTTGTTGTACTGATTAGTTGAAACAATTACAAGCATATAAAAATGACCGCGAGTGTCCTTTTTAATAGCATTCAGTTAATATATGCTGGTTCGTTCGTTCAATTTTTTTACTAGGCTAATCATCTGTGTATTTTAACAGGTTTTTTTGTAAATCAGTCGCTGCTCTTTTACATTACTTCCTGTTGTCTGTGTTCACCTGGATGTTATGCGAGGGAATTCTTTTGTACATCTTAGTTATACGACTCTTTCATAACGTTGGTAGAAAGCATATTAAGATCTTCAATTTCATTGGCTGGGGTGAGCATGATATTTTGTGTTTCTCTTTTACAATGTGCAAGCTATTTCTGACAAATCTGTTCGTTTTAGGCATTCCTTTGATAACTATTGCAGCATCATTTGGTTACTCAAGGCGAAGGTTATGGCACCGACTTCTATTGTTGGTTTTTCGAAAATAAATTGAATTTGGCTTTTATTATCCCAGCATGCTTTGTTATTGCAGTAAGTTAACATGTAACATCAATCAATGTTTTAATGTGACCATAATAGGTGATCTGTCTATTATTTGTTCAACAATGATTTTTTTTTGCGAAAGCAATATATTAGTTTTTATGAACCAAAAACCACTGTCCATATTTGCATAATTGAGTTTTGCATACTAAAATTATTGGTTCTGAACCACCAAATTCTATCAGTGTTTGATGGTTTATATAGCAATATATGTTATCAACAACACGAAATTGATGACCCACCATTGTTCATAACTTTGGCTTATTTCAAAGGTTATTTCACGTTCCAAAGTCGCTTTGAACTTATCAAAAGTTGAACATGATTTGATGTATCAGCATTCCATGATTTGATGGTTTGAGATGTTAAATTCTCACGAGAAATTACTTGATGTTTTCGAAGAATAAATTGAAGACATACTTGACCTTCTTCTAGATTCATGGCAATTAACTTATTAATGACAAAACATGGCGTGTTGATTTTTATGATAAACACAGGAAAAATTATATGATAATCGTCTTTTATATTTCATCAGAAAGATAAAGTGTGCATGCTGTAATATTAGTATAAGCAAATTTTTATTTATCTTCAGGTCAATACTGTAGTACTCATTATGGTTATCAGAAAAATGATGAACACACACAAAGTCAGACAACAAGAAAATATTGAGAAAGTAAAGACAGGAGTAAGAGCTACAATTGTTATCTTACCTATTCTTGGTTTGACCTGGGTGTTTGGCTTGATGGCCATCAATGAGGAGACTGTATTCTTCCGTTATCTTTTTGCCATTTTTAATTCTGCTCAAGGATTGCTAATATTCCTCTTTCACTGTGTTCTAAATAAAAAGGTGACATTGACAATTTCTGCATAATTTGTTATGAGATTATAAAGTGTTGTTAGCAAATGCTTAATCACTATTCTAGATGCAAGAGGCTGTTCGGAAAAGTTCGCGACGCACTTTCTCTTTAAGACACGGTGGGAAGAAATGGACTGACTTACAAAATGGTTTGTTAAGTTCCTTTTAGTTTCGTTGACTGTGGTAAAAATGGTTTTGTCTGTTTTTCATTGCGATGTATTCTATTGACATAAAACATGGATTTATAAATGATGATTAATGATATTTTAAGGATGTGTTTATTTGTGAAACATCCATTTTCCATAGCTTTGCATGACTCATATAATAAATAATTGCTTATGTTGCATGTGAGTTTTAATCAAGGTTGTTGTAAATACTCATTTATGACAAAACTGTAAGCAAGCATCAAATAGGAAAACAAGCTCTAAATAATTTGTATATTGTAGGAAAAAATTCCTTAGTTCTCACTATTATGCTTCTCTCCACCAATGTTGCAATGATGAATAAATTCATAGTGTTTTAAAAAATTTTGTTGACATATCACCTTTATCAGTTTATTTTTTATTAGTTTCATCTAGTGCTCCTGGAAAGACTCTTAGTTCGGACAGAAGTGAAGAAAAGCAAATAGAGAAAGGTGATGATTTTTCAAACGAGGAATCATTTCTTTTGTCCCTTCAGTCACAGACGCGAGGTAAAAATGACGAAGAAGAATAATTTAGCATGTTTTTCTTTGTTCGATGTTTGAAAAATATGAATTAATGTATTTAAATCTCCCATGGTTGTTCAGGGTAATTGACTGTTGTGTGTAATACAAAGTCAATTTGACGACAAAACAAAAAGAGAAAAAGAAAACTACAATTTTTCTTCTTCAAATGCTTTTGCTGATGTCAAAACATTTTTATCCGAAACGCGAAGTCATGGAAAATGAGGATTCGGTGTTTTTAAAAAACAATGCTTTTGCTCCTTAAAGGGATTTTCTCCGTATAAATTCTGCATGTACTGAAAATATTACAATTAGCAGCTATTCTTTGAATAATCTGAAGATCAATTTTTTGAAGTTTTCATTATTTTACGCCAATGGCAAAACTTTTTTGTTACTCAACAAATGTACAACAAAATATTTATCATTTAGAGAAAAAACTTATTTAATCAAAAAACCTGGGATTGAATGTTATTATTGTTGCATTGATTTTTAAACTGGTGCATGTTTTACGCCTTAGGAAACAAAGATACCATTGAGTCGTCTTTCAAAAGTCAAAATCTGCTGATACGACAGAATTTAGTGGAAAATCATCAGAAAGTGAAACACCATCAAATTCATCATTGTTGGAAAGTGGTGATAAATTGGCTTGCAGTAAATTATGATAACAATAACATCTATGGTATTTTAAGTAACGATTTAAGGTATGAACGAATTTTTAACTAAGAATAGAATGAAAAATAACCCAAAATAAAAGAATTTACCTAGATATATCTTGAACCAATGCATAATGAGACGAAAAAATGTAACTATTGTGCTGCTATTGACAAAAAATGTCATACTAACTTCATAGTAACATGTTAAAATAACTATGTGTTGTCTATAGCTATAGTCAGTGTTAACGAACTGAGAATATATAGCTATTGATTCGTGCAAAGATTTGATTTTAATTTACTGCAAAAGATCAGACAACTAACCACTTAAAAAGAGTATAAACGACGTACTAAGTTTAATTTGTTGAAGTTGGTTTTGTGTGTCATGCTCATATATATATATATATACATATAGGAAGTTTATAATTTATGATTTTCCGTATAAAACAGTGCTCGATGCCCAAGAGCAGAGCGTAAATATGTGTAGTGGTGTTGAGAAAAATCACAAAACTACAGATTCATCCCGACAAGCCTGTTTCGTGATTGCTCACTCTTCAGGGGATTTAATGAATAAAATACTTAAATGCTTAAAATATATATACCGTAAATGCTCGAATAAGCGCCAGGGCGCATTTAATTTTAGGCGAGAGGGGGCGCTAATTCGAAGGGCGCTTATTGGAGGGGCGCTATTTCATTTTCGGATTTTGACGTGAAAATGACACTGGTATTTTATTTCTTGTGACCTTAACTGTAACATAAGTATGAATTTTGAAAACGTTAACATTCTAGAAAGCAACATTAACATTTTGTGAAACTTGAAATGTTCTCCAAGCGATTTCCTGGTGCCTTGTTAAAGGGCATGTGTATTGTACAATGCGTTTAACATCGTGAAATGTTTTGTATATATAAAAGCCTGCCGTTAATGTTCAGCGGTTGTCTTCAATTTAACACACAATGAAAATAGTACTGACATTGTTTATGCTATATCGCGTCTTTCGCTAACCATTTGATCCTTAATCAATCTCAATTTCTGTATCGCTGTCATCAAGCAATGTTGACACAGGAGCAGCATCTTCAACATCTGATAGCGTGATATCCTGAAAAGGATCATTCTCCAGTGTTTGCTGAAGTTGCTGCTGAACTGCCTTCAGTTGTGCCAGGCCAGAATGACAAGGTTGACTCGGCTTTAAGCAGTGTATCAGCTCATCTTGAGAACCGTCGACAGCAAGTGTCAGCGCACAGCACTTGAAGGAGTTAATAATGTCCTTATCCAGATCATTCCATGCTTCAATGATCCACTGGACAATCTCGCCTAGGAGGAGCTCGCATGTTCCCTGCTGCAGTAAACGTGTGTTGACCATTTGCCATCCACTCGTCATATCTCTCAGTCACTTTGGCTTTGAATGGTTTGTTCCACGATACATCAGGCGCTTGGATATATTTCGTACACCCCCCAGGTATAATTACAGGATCTATCTTTGCGCGATTGAGCTCTTGTTTAACGCTGTCTAAGACGTGGCATCTAAAAGAATCCCAAGCATCCGTCTGGTGAACGAAAACTGGCCCAAGACACTTTTAACCCAAGAAACGGTTAGTTCTTCATTCATCCATCCATTAATCGAGGACGCTACGACACACTTTGTTCTGAATTCCTCATTCAGTGCTTTCGACTCTCTCTTGGCACCTGGAAAACGATGAACGGCTTTAGTTTGGTACCGTCTCCCTTTGCAGTCAAACACACTGAAACCTTCGTTTTTTCATGGCCAGTTGTTTTCAATCGAATTGTGCTTTCGCCAATGTTGTCGACCGTGGTATTGGATACCATATCTTGCCATACTGCTGTCTCATCCATTGCAATGATATCCCTGTCTTGGTAAGCGATTTTTACGTTGCCGGCGAATCTGCAAAACATACGCTATGAGTTTGTCTATCACTTTCTCGGGGTCCTTTTGTGATTCAGTGGTTTTGCGTCTGATTGCCAAACCATGTCTTGACATGAACCGCTGTAACCAACCGGAACTGGCAAGAAACGATGGTGGTTTCCTTCTCTTTGCATTTCTCGTTATCGAAAATTTTGCTTTGCTTGCGATCATTTTTCTGGAAACACGAAGGCCATTGGAACGGCGCTCATGTACCCACTGTAATAATGCTTCTTCTAGGTCTTCATCGAATGGCTTTCGTCCGCCTCCTTCAAGCCGCTTCTCTTGCTGCTAGTATCTTCCAATTTGCTTTTCTTTTGTCGCCATTCTCTTACTCTCTTGCGGTCGACACCAAACTTTGCTGCGGCTTTTCGGTTACTGTTACACTCTTCGGCAAATTGAACAGCCTTAAGTTTAAATTCGTTAGAATAAGAAGAGTTCTTCAATCCTGCGTGCGATGTAGATGCTAGAGTTATACTTTCGTCCATGATGTCAAAGGTAAGCATGCTGTAATGCGAGAAGGCCGGAAAAGACCTCCCATGAGAAGATCACATTGTATCACGTGCTACCAAACACGTGTGTGACATTCATCTGCTGTTTACAACATGGCGCGTTCAAGCTATACCTTTACTTGGCAAATGGTTTACGAAATAGAATTTGCGTCTGTGATAAGAGGACACCATGTTTATAAAGCTGAATGGTCACCACAGCTTGGAGAACGGCTAGTGTGTCGGAAAGACGATCGAAAGGAGGCTAAAGAGCACGATGAACATGCGATTGGAACATTTATTCAAGACAGTGGCAAGCTGGTTGGACTTGCGCCCATTGAACTTTCCTTCCTCGTGTTTACATTTTTACGAGCTCATGAGGATAATGCGGTGGAGGTAAAAGTAACTGGAAAAAACTTGAAAACGGCCTAGTTGTTCCAGGAACTTTAAAGCAGTAACACGAAGCCGGCGACTGGGAGCAAAGTTTAACGAGGAACTTGATAAAGTAAAGCTCCTATGTGCCCACATGGATATTGAAATCAAGCAAATGAGAAGCAAACCTCTGAAGAACATTGATTTTGAGTTCTAACGAATGTCCGTTACCGATGTAAAAAATTAAAAATACTGTGTATCGAACTGAGTACCGAAGTTCATCTTTATCGGGAAAGGGTGGTGGGGGCGCTTATTTGAGAGGACGCTTAGCAAAACCCGTCTTTTCTCGAGGGGCGCTTATTGGAAGGGGCGCTTATTTCAAAATTTGAGTCCTAGGGGGGGCGCTAATTCGAAGCGGGGTGCTTATTGGAAGCTGGGCGCTTATTCGAGCATTTACGGTAATTAACTAAAACGCTGAATTAGGTCTCTTGAAATTGACTCAATGTTTAACATTCGCGTGACCTCGCGTAGGGCTTTGTACAACGTGCAGGCGGTGCAGCTAAATCTTGCAAGCATTTCTTGAAGAGTCACCTGTATTATATACATAAGGAGAGAAGACAAGATATGTCATTATTCTTTACTAAAGCAGTCAGAAGCTTTACGACGCATACAAAAAATGTTTGTGAGTATGCCAGCGAATGCAAATTCATATGATCATTTTATTGCGATCAAGTGTCGCCCACGCACGTGTGTCACGCATTACAAAAATAACATGGAATTCAAAAGAAGCATTTGGTTTGTAGTACTTTACGTTTTTGCAGCATAAGCGCGACAAGGAAAAGGAGAGGATCAGCAATATTTAAGAGTGAAAAAAATAAAATTGTAGAACTCCAGTACGAGAAACAATGGTAACAAACTACTTTAGGAGTCTGTTCGAATGCCCCAGTGATTAAATATTCAAGCACATATATACGCCACAACAACAATAATCGGCAATTTTCGTCATATATATAAGATTTATAACAGAAACGAAAGATCACAATCGCAGTATTACTAACAAAAGACTAAAACTAATAAAATACTTCAGCTGTAGGATATCTTGTGGTGTGATTTTAATAAACAATGCTTATTTAAAGCACAGATGAATCGATTTGATGATGAACATTTTACTTACAAAACGACTTTAAAATTAACAATTCGATTATAAAATTCACCCATATCAATAGAGCACAGGGTTGCAAAGTCGCTACAAAGAGTTGACATTAAGACTTTTCAAGAAGCAAAGGAAATTTGCTTCTTTAGGGTAAATGCTAAGTAAAAAATAATAAGTATTTCACAAATAACTCGTCTGGACCGGACGTTGAATAGTTCAAGCAACTTACTTTGTGCTAACGACAACAAGGATTTCTTTATGACAAGAAATAACGTTCTTGCAAATTTGTTTGACCGAAACTACAGGTTTACAATGTTTTAATGGTAATAAAGAAAATATATTTTTATGGCAGTTAGTTGAGACATTTATTGAATCTTCCAAATGTTCCATATATTAATTACTATATAGCAGGCCTAAAATTTGCTTTATTGTTCACATTTATACATCGTAGGCACACATGATATTTTTTGTCGTTTATTTACAAACCTTTTATTGCCAAAGACTTCAATTTTCATCAAGTTTTCAGACTTGACGTTCTTGGCTGTTTGTTAAATGTGTGCTTTCGATGTGTGGCAAATTATTCCCAGTCACGAAAATTATGTAACTGCTGCTACGCACCAGCGTGGCAGCACACGTATTCTTGACGTGCTCAGGCTGGATTTCCACTTGCGAATTTTTTCGGCCAGGCGTGCGTGGCGGACACGATTGGAAGACGGAAACGGAAAATGCTCAAAATTTAGTTGTAAATATCGTTTTACGATCATTAAAAACAGAGCTGCACGGGTCTTCCACTGTTGCTTGTACCTATGCTTCTTACAAACATCTTGAAAAAGAACTTCATTTATGAGAATGTTAATGATACTCGCATTTAGTTTCGTTTTTATTTTATTTTTTTACTGTTAATTTTTCAATGGAGTACAAGAATATACTAATAGCGAACTAAAAGCATTTTATTTTGCGCCTTTTGTGTTTCCGTCTGCCATCTGTGTCCGCCATATGCATACGCATCCGCCATCCGCGCCCGTTTTTTATCTACACCCATTTTTGGCCACGAGAGGCAAAAACTCGTCGCTTGCGCTATGTGCGCTGTGGATGTAGTCATACCATATAACTAATAAAAGAACTTTAATGGCGATCAGATTTTATCTCATGACCAAACAGCAAAATATATGCTACAAACGATGTGTACCAATGCTTATACGCATTTAATTACATATTTTCAGTAAAGTCAAGATGCTATGAGAATTGAGTATGTTTCCAACGATCAACAAATAATTTTATTCAAAACATTTTGTACTTGTCAGCTCTAAATCCTTTGCGATTTCTTCATACGCAAAATTGTCTGTATTTTAAAAGTCTTGCGTCTCGCAATGAACAAACAAAGATAGTTTGGTCTTAAGTCACGAGTTTGTCTTCCAACACTTACTC